CTGGTTATTGTGCTAAATCGGAGTGGACATTCATTAAATACTAATTAGTTGATTTTTTTTTTTTCAGTTTTTATTAATTGTTTTTGACAAAATTACAAATAAAAGACTCTTTAGTAATTTTTCAACACACACGTCAGAGATACACAGATAGTGTAGGCTTCAAAAATTAAAAGCTACATAACTTGATTTGTCTATTGACAACATTTGTATTTTATTTTTAATATAGCTAAAATACATGTACAATGGTGGTTGTGGTTAAGTTTAACGTATTTACTGACGGTTTGAACCTAGGCTATCATCACTGATCTGAACTAACATAGTTATTGTTGTTCATTTTCTTCCTTTCTCAAACCTGTCAAATGAAATATATATAATTTTTATCAAATCTACTGAGTTGTTTTATCTACATATTTTTCAAATGAAAACATTTTGCTTTCACTTGATTGACATTCCAAATATATATGACATGCTAACTTGGCAAAAAATGGATATTCGAATATTTTTATTTCATTTGAATTTCTAAGATTTGACAAACATTAAATACTTTGTTTATAAATAAATGAATTAAAGGCCACCCGAACATAAACAGATCAAAAGATAGTTTAAGGCCATAATAACATTGAAAGAAACATGCACAGAATCATGTATAACAGGACAATTGACTTGACTCCTTGCTAAAGGCTCTCTTACCTTATCTTGTATCATTTGTTGTTAGGAACCCGGATAACTGCAAACATTGCCACTATCCAACTGGGACAGCAATGTTAAAATGATGTACTTAAAGCCTTACTTACATGGATCAACCATACGTATTGCCAATCTCTTTCAGAAAACAAAACATTCAAGAGGGACAAAATATGTGTCCAAAGTACATGAAGTATACATTGCCCCTCTAGCATTATTATTTTATTGTTGTGAACCATGAAATCAGGGAAAAATTGGTATTGGGCTAAAATTTTAGATCGAAATGAATATGCGAAAACAGCTTCATGTAAGACAATCTCAATAACAACTTATCATATTTACAAATGTGTTTGATAGCTTGCTGTTCGGTGTGAGCCAAGGCTCCGTGTTGAAGGCCGTACTTTGACCTATACTTGTTTACTTTTTACACATTGAGACTTGGATGGAGAGTTGTCTCATTAGCACTCATACCCCATCTTCTTATTTATATTGAACATTTTATTTGAAAAATGGTCGTTTGCAGCAAATAAACAGTCCACACATATTTTATACAAATATTCAACTATAGGTGAATGTTCGGCCGTCAAAACATAGGCTTAAGTGAAATGACTTAAATCAGGACAGTGACCTTCGTTTACATATATCTAAATCATGTCAAAATAAGAAAATAAGAATACCCTTTTAATGAATGTGCCAAGAACGTCAGTGTATTGTCGATATTAAAGTCATGTACATGAATACCCCTTATGAATAAAAGGATATGTGGATATACGTCATAAGATTAGCAACTCAACATCAAAAACAATAAAAAAAACATTATAAATCAATAGATGGGAATTTTATGACATGCCAAACCCTAGATTGTGTTGAATCTATATAAGTTGTTAACCTCCATTTTCTCTTATTCTCCAAATAACAAAACGCTTTAAGATAAGATAAGATAAGATCAAACTCCCACTCAGCGCTGTAGTAGAAAAAGAAAGGATATAGGGTATCCATCCATGACACTAAAACCAGTACATGCACAGCAAAAAAAAAAAAACAAACACAAAAAGCAAAGGAACAGCGCTTTTATTGCTGTTCTTCATTTCAAAGTCACAGTGAGGCCTTCAACACGGAGCAAAACAATCTCACCTCACTGCAAGTTTAAGACGGCCCCTAGCACCGACCTACTTTAATAAGTCAAGTAAAAAGCAGTATTTGTTCAGTGGCAAGTCTAGCACATACTTAAGGTGATCTGGCTGACTTTTGTAGGACTGATCCGTTGTCGGTTCAATGTTTTATAATAGTAGATGTACAAAAAGTAAAAAAAAAAACATATGTAAAAGCCTTAACCTGAATTACCACATGGTGATGTGTATATCTACAATTGCTAAAAACTATAATGCAAGAACACCCAATTAATATGTACATATAAATAAAAAGTAACAAAAATAAATTGTGTAGGCCAATTATAACGTAACAGTGTTTGCTATCTATGCAGAACTACGAGACAAACAAATCTACTGCATATAATAACATTTTATTGCTTTACTTTATGGATTATATGATACATTACTTCTGACCATATAAATTTTCAGAATAATGACTTATAGATACAATTTTGAACCTCAGTCTATAGTATTGGAATTTTTTATTTACATCTAGCTAGATATTGACAACGAGTGCTTGTTGAGAACGAAACTTTACGACAAAAGAGATTATTTTACCTTCCCAATTGTGAACTTTCCATTAGTATGTAGAAAGATTTGAGCAGCGCCTGCATATCACATATATATCTTACTACATCATAGTCATATTGGCCAATATGACTATGATGTAGTCAGAAGCACGCACATTAATGTTATTTGTCACGCTCCGTCTATTGCCCACATTTCAGATGTTAGGTTGCATTGACAAAATATCTTTTTGAACACTGAACAATGAAAAAGTTTCAAAAGTAGATTATCTATCTGATATTAAAACTTTCAAAGTAAAGTGAAATGAGACTTTTAGATATTTTAGTTCTGGTCAGTATGAAATATAGACTCAAAGAACAGACTTCTTTACAGTTTCAAATATTAATATTTGTTATTATATGGGGGAATTTATATATTCATCAGTTTATTTATCTTTTGAAATAATGTCCAACTCTGGAGATTATCATCTGTGTGATTCAAATATTATCAGTGAAATGCATCAACGATTGTCAAGGGTTCATGTTTATCATATTTATTTTTTCGTAAATTGTTTTGTTATAATTCAGGCAGTTTATTGTCTCGTTTGAATTGTTTCGCATTTTCATGTCGGGGCCTTTTATGGCTGACAATACGGTATGGGTATGCAATATTTTTTATTTAATTGGTATTTTTCTTCATTTAAATGCAATATTTTTTTCATTTGAATGGTATTTTTCATTTAAATGCAATATTTTTTTATTCAAATAGTATAATTTGTCATTCAAATACAATTTTTTTTTTATTTAATTGGTATAACTTGTCGTTTTAATGTAATATTTTTTATTCAATTTGTATAGTAGTTTTTTTTTATTTATATGCAATAATTGCATTACGGGAAATTGTTTGACGTCCCAAGGTACCTGTTACCTGTTACCTAATCTGTACGTTCCGCCTCTGTCAGTTGCTCAACCAAACGGTGTATGGGGTTTGCTATATACACGGGTCATGATCACACCTGAACTTTGACATTATACAGGGATTGACACTACTAAATTCAATCATTGACTAAAAAATATATCAACAAGTAGTTTCTGGTTGTAGTAAGAATACAAGGACGGATTCAAACAGAAAGATTTTGAAAGCAGAGAAAACTGTGCACGTTATAATCAGCATTACTTTATCAAATGACAAGACGAATACTAAACATCCAGGCTAAAAATAAGGCGTAGGTACTTGAATTCAGTCACGGACCCACGATTTTGCGGGCGTGTTCGAGTCGCAATAATAAGAACTCGCATTATGATATATGATACATATATATGTAAGAAACTTTTCCCTAGATCGCAATAATTAAACTCGCATTTTTGTTTAATTTATAAAAAATCGCAATAATAAATGCATGCTATAATTTCTGAATTCAGAGTAGATATTTCTCAGTTCCAAGTTGACATTTTTACCTTCCAAGTTGACATTTCTCACTTCCGAATTGAAATTGAGAAATATAAATTAGGAACTAAGACATATCGAGTTAGAAATTAATGAGTATGTCGACTTTGAAATGAGAAATATCAAACTTAAATACTATTTACTGAAATGTCTCCATCGGTCTGTCGTAAAGGAACAATCATAAACAAAGACAAAGACCGAGCTCGAGATATAATACACAGACACTGACGTATTGAGCATTATAAACCACTTTCTTAAAATAAAGAAAATAAACTAATTTTCAATTAATTGAACAGACACACTACCTTCCTACATATGATCACATGATACATTAAAATCCTAACACATTCATATTCGGTTATAATTAACAAACTTGAAAGACGGACGGAATTGGCAGGGGCGAATTTAGTGTAGATGTACTTTTCAAAACTCAGAAAAATATGATTTTAAGGTAAAACATTTTTGGGTTTACAATCTTATCCTGGATTCGCCCCTGATGTCAAATACTTAAAACAAATTACACCTAAAGCAGCCTTCAAGGCATTTCGACACTTGATGCGGTATTGACCTTAGGTTTGAGATGTAGTAATTTTTTTTTGCTGAAGACCTTCCAATAACAGTGAGAATGAACAACATTAACAGTTCCGTTTAATTGAACTATTTGCCTTTTCCTAGTATCTAATTAAGTGTTTGCTGACAAAAACATACTCTTAGTCTTCTTTTCAAATTAAAAGATAAATTCAATAAAGAATGACAGATCACCCTCGCGCATCTTACCCTTCCAGTTTGAGCAAACGATTTGCAGACTTACGAGTATCAAACTCGGCAGTTGTTGTTTTAAGAGTAGCATCTGTATCTAATAAAAACAACCATGTATCCCTGTATACCGGACATTGATGGTACCAAAAACAGCCGATGGAGTACTTTATTCAGAATAGATTGGATCTCATGATAAGGATCAAGAATCAATTAAAGGTACATTTTTATAGATTTTAATCGTGTAATGTTACTGTAGTTGAATCTGGTAAACACAGAAAGATTATTTTTTCTCTTAAGTTTGATTTAATGTAATAAATGAAAAGAGATTTTGGGCATAAGACAAAAAGGCAGCAACCCTCAGATATGTATTTCAAGCCACCCATGTATGGAAAATATTATGTCTTCAAGCATTGCTCATTTTTAACACAAACAGTAAGTTTACTAAAAAACAAGTTAAATTGCAATTATTTTATTTTGATGCTGATCCTCTGTGTCTTTTACTCATCTCACTAACGGTTTGACTGAAAACAAAATAAATGCATCATAATTTAAAACATATCAAAACGTATAATAACAGTAACTTTAACATAATGAAATTCCTATTCTGAATTGATACATGTGTAAAGCTTTTAAGAAATGAAAATAATCAAAACAACCAATGTACATTAAACAAACATATCTGGTTTATATGTAAGAAAAAAAAAAACGATTGATGCAATATCATTACTGATAGATAGAAGTTTGCAAAGTTACCTAGATATATCGAGTTTGTCATGCTAGCTCCGCACATTCGTTTAGATTCTCCAACACATGCCATGTTACAGTTTGATTCCGCTACTTTTGGATACTTTTTGTTTTCTAGTATATTTCCACACAAACAGTATGTACTAAACTGAAAAAGTAAAAAAATATGTACATTCTGATTTAAATATGCTATGAACAAATAACATGTATCAAAAAGCCGGAATGAATAAAAGTATGGAATGGTACATTTATGAACACTTTTTCCTAAAACGATACGCAAGAGTGGTGCGAATTATATATATGTCGTGTACATGTTACACAGGATCAATTAAATCCAAAGCATGCACTGCTCGTGAACTCTGATCACAACATCAATTACAATGACAAAAGAAATACATTGTGTGTTATTCTGTCGATATACATGTTGTCTGTCCAACGTCTCCACCTAAAAAGGAATAAATATTTTTCGCTATTATAAACCCTCGTCACGTGACGTCTCAATCTGGCGTGAGAGACGCGCGCGGGACCTGAAATAAAATAAAAACTTTCCAAGCTAAATATAGAAACTTAACCAACACAATAATATGGACTCTACAAACAAACAAACAAACAAACAAACAAATATGCATAGCAATTGTACAAGTAATTACGTGTACGATGCCATCATACAAGTTATTACTTGTACAAATATAATTGTACATTTTTTGTTGAGAAAAAGATCATAACTTGTACAACTAACTATCTTTGAGTTCAATTTGTTTCTATCTTCTGTTTTTTTTTTTAAATGTTTTATTCAAAAACTCTTTTCTTTAGGTTTGTTATTTTGGGTTTTTTTTTTGTCATTTCTCAGGTTATTTTTTTCTTTTACTATTTTTTCTTATTTATTTGTTTGTTTTTATTTTTGCTTAGTAAAAATCGATAAAACAGAGATAAACTGTCGGAAAACATTTGGAATACTGGACAATATTGGTGTTATTGCTACATACGGCATTATGCAAGAATATGAGTTATATCATGAACGTCAGTGTTATTGGATGAAAAAACTGAAGCACCAGGAGGAAAGCTGACTATTTGTTCTCGTATATTTTTTTTTTAAATATTCTTTATTATTTTTGAAAATATTTTTTGTTTGTTATTTATTTTGTTTGTTTTTTATCATATTTTGAATTTTTGTTTTTTTAATCATTTTTAAAATAAAGAATAATTGATTTATCTTATTTTCAATCGATGGAAAGATTCAATTGTTCTCTGACAGTTGGGTTTTCATTATTACTATGATTATTAATATATCTGTTTTTTTTTAAATTGCACATATCTTAATCCTTCCGACCAGTGTGAGTTGTTGTTCTCGTGTGTCCATGAAATCATCATACTCTTTATGTCAGCGTTCGCTCTTTCAAATAGGCCTAGGTAGAATAATGATTTGTACAAGTTATTATCTTTTTCTCAACAAAAATTGTACAAGTAATTACTTGTACAATTGTATTTGTACAAGTAATAACTTGTATGATGGCATCATAAAAATAATTATTTGAACAAAATGTTTGTACAAGTAATAACTTGTACAAAATATTAACATGTACACGACATATAAACTTTATCATTGTGGTGTTTCATTTAAGATATATCGGATGGATTTTTCTAACGTTTGAGAAATAGATATCTAAAGAAAATCTTTTTTTTTTTCATTAAAAGCTGAATGCAAATGCATATTTCATTTGACGTAATTTAATGTTTTACATTTAAAAGATGGTTGTGAAATCAGTGTTACCTGCAAGCCTGTGTATTTATATCATTTGCAATGTTCACGACATTTAGCTAAGGTTATAGAACTCCCAAAGCTATAAATTTTATGTTTGAGATGTCTGGCACTGTCATCTTTGTAACATCCAATGTATTCTAAAATATAAATAATATCATTTATTTAAAGTGACAAAAAACAAAAGATATTAAAAGACTCGATCAGAAATTTGTGTTATTACATTCTGTCGTTCAAAAACAGTTTTTGTTCATTAAGTAAATATCATACATTGCTAAATAGTTTTACAACGATTTTAAAAATACTATAAAAATGTATTATCTGGTTCAATCATACTAAAAATCAATATCATTTGAATATGTATGTGTCACTCTTATTCACAATTTTTCTAAACGTGTTTCTTTATGGTATCGAGCATTGCAATTATTTTCAATTATCATCGGAACAAACAAGAAATGAATAGTACTTCTACATGCTGATCCTTTAATTGATCACGAATTTTCATAGTATTTCTAACACGATGCATAAAGATGTCGTATTGATGTTGTGATTAAATAGACAGAATACATTTTCAAAAAGTTACCTGAGCACATTGTATTCAATAGTAGCATTAACACAAGATCGTATACATATAAATTAGTTTTGTACGCAATGATTGAAATGTTGTTGAACACTTTATCCTAAAATGAATACAAACCAAATTTCTTAGTTGCTTTTTTCAAACCATTTATCGCTTTACTAAGATCTGTGAGCTTTGATTTAATTGCAGATACGCTGTGGCTATTATCCTTCGAAGCTGCTATTATTTTCTTCAATTTGTCTTGTTGGGAATCCATCACTTTTTTAATCGAACCATGGACCGCTTTACTAAGATCTGTGAGCTTGGATTTAACTGCAGAAACACTGTTGCTATTAACCTTCGAAGCTGCTATTATTTTGTTCAATTGGTCCTGTTGGGAATCCTTCACTTTTTTAATCGAACCATGGACCGCTTTCCTTAGATCTGTGAGCTTGGATTAAACTGCAGAAACGCTGTGGCTATTAACCTTCGAAGCAGCTAATATTTTGTTAAACTGGTCCTTTTGGGAATCCTTCACTTTCTTAATAGAACCATGAACCACTTTACTAAGATCGGTGAACTTTGATTCAACAGCAGAAACGCTATGGCTATTATTCGTCGAAACTGTTTTTATTTTGTTCAATTGGTCCTGTTGGGAATCCATCACTTTTTTAATCGAACCATGGACCGCTGTACTAAGATGTGTTAGTTTTGATTTAATAGCAGAAACGCTGTGGCTATTGTTTTTCGAAACTGCTATTATTTTGTTCAATTGGTCCTGTTGGGAATTCATCATTTTTTTAATCGAACCATGGACCGCTTTACTAAGATCTGTAAATTTTGATTTTACTGCAGAAACGCTGTGGCTATTGTCGTTCGAAGCTGCTATTATTTTATTCAACTGGTCCTGTTGAGAATCCTTCACTTTTTTAATCGAAACATGGACCGCTTTCATAAGATCTGTGAGCTTGGATTTAACTGCATAAACGCTGTGGCTATTAACCTTCGAAGCAGCTAATATTTTGTTAAACTGGTCCTGTTGAGAATCCTTCACCTTTTTAATCGAACCATTGACCGCTTTACTAAAATCTGTGAGCTTGGATTTAATTGCGTAAACGCTGTGGTTATTATTCTTCGAAGCTGCTTTTATTTTGTTTAATTGGACCTGTTGGGATTTCATCATTTTTTCAATCGATTTCAATATCGAAGATGAAACCTTGTCATCATTATTATCTAATAAGAAACCACGAATTGGTATCTTATTTGGTGCATTCAAAGATAAACTGATCCCATTTTGTTTATTTAAACTGGTAACTATTACACATTCCAAGAAAGCAAGGAAAATTGCTATGCTCTTCATTCTGTTGATAGATGCTTAAAATATCAGGAAATCACTGTTTTATAATAAAACAACTAATATGCATATGGCAAGTCATTGTATTAATTACGAACGCGGCTGTTGCGTGATATGTGATACATGTATTTTTATGTTTGTCGTTTGCAAATGGCAGTAAAGGTAACATGAAATAAAACAAAAAAATCATATTGCATATTTGAACGTACTACGATATACAACGGCACTTTAATACGAAAATAAATGAAAAAAAAAATATGCACAATTATCGAACGGAACAAAGCACCCTTATGTAAACATTCGGCTAAAACACGCAACCCCATGGTTGCATATCACAGAAATTTATAACCAAATAAAGATAAAAGGAGATACCCATTAATCACTCTATTTTTTTATTGCCGGCATCATTTTTTCTGACTTCATCGAAACAACTACAGACTTATTCTTTATTTATCCTGCAACCTAATGTTCAGACTCACCTACAATTTCCTTCGTTTTCATGTGACTTGGTATGACAAAATGTCGTCTGTTGTGTATATGTGCACATTGCGTTGATGCTCTTCGATAGATTGTTTTTTCAATCTGTAACTTCTTACACAGCGCATAAACTACATCTGAAATTAGATTATCTTATTCATTATTAATTAATAGGGTCATAGATTTGTACTTTTCATAACTTACATGTTGTTGAACAATATCAATCTGTTGATAGTAATTGCTCGAAGAAATTCATAAAAAAACAAGGGGTCAATCTATAATCGATTAAGACAACAACACAACACATGTGTCTCGTAGTTTTATAGAGAGGAAACACTTTTTCGTTCTAATTGGTCTATGAAATTTTTACTTTTGTTACTTTTTATTCGTATCTAAACATTAATTTGTGGCTGATATGTTAAATTGTTTTAGTAGTTATAGCTATGCACATATCACCACGTGATATCTTAGGCTAAGGCTAAGACTTTTAAAACTTGTTTTACATTTTGTCATATCTACCATTACAACACATCGGTGCGACGACTCATCAGTGAGACAAAAGTCAGTTGGATTATAACAATGTGTTTGTGGTAGCTTTGCAAATGAGACAAATATCCATTACAATCGATATTCATATGTATAAAATATCCCCTGAAGTGCATGTAACAAGTATATTATTGTGGGATCCTAAGGCATTTTGTGAAATTTTTCATGCGACTACAGTTTGTTGAGCATAACACAAATATATAAAAAATATATATATATATAACTTTAATAATTTCTCAGAAATCGCAAATTAAATATCTGATCAAAATTGGTGCAAACGTAAAGACTACTAGTATATATCGCTAAAAAGTTCAGCAATTTTGACTTAAAACTATTATTTCTCGAAATCCTGTTCTACATATTTTGTTTAAATATTACATTTGTTGCTACCGGCATTTGTGTTTTATTGATTTAAATAGCACAACATGAAAATGCGCTGAAAAGCAAAATAGTTCTGACGTCACATTATTCAATATTTTTGGCGATTGTTACGTGCTTCATATACATGTGTATTTTATTTATACAGAATATTCAATTTGATTTATTTCCGAAAGTCTAGAAGTGATGTAATTTTATTTCCATATTCATATGCAAATCTACGCACTTTAGTTGCTTTGAAAATTTCATATATATCTGTGAAATCGCCCATTAACTTACAAGTTACTATTAGATAAAAAAGGGCAAACTAAAAGTAAATTATAAAAAATATTGAACAAAATGCTCCTTGTGGGATGTTTTTTAAGCTGTTTCTTTTCATATTCATTAGTCTTCAGATAACAATACGTTTAAACTAGTAACGAAAATATCTGGAAAATTTATTACACAGACGTTATATTTCATTTGACGTCGACTGTATATATACATTTCATTGTCAGTCATGTCATCCCTTTATATTGTAAATTGTACATGTTTTTATGAAATACCGCTAAGGGTGTTTAACTAGTTTTACCCCGCCACATTCTGATATAGATTTTTTTCTATACCTAGATCACTTTATATCAGTTTTCCTCTTTTCAGGTTACATATAATAAATTTGATAAATCATATTAGGAGTACGCATTTTTCCAGCGGGTTTAAAAATGTAAAACTTAATTGTGAAAATACATATTCATTCAATAGTTCTTTGAAGAACAGTTAAGCTACCATCATTGAGTATAAAGTGAAATAACAAAAATACCGAACTTCAAGGAAAACTCAAAACGGAAAGTACCCTTGTCAAATGGCAAAATCAAAACCTCGAACACATCTAACGAATGCAAAACAACTGTCACATTTCTGACTTGGTACAGGCATTTCCTTGTGTAGAAAGTGGTGGATTAAACCTGGTTTTATAGCTAGCTAAACCTCTCACTTGTATGACAGTCACATACAATTCCATTATATTGACAACATTGTATGAACAAAACAAACAATCATAATGAGTATAAAAGTCAGAAATAGGGGTACAGCAGTCAACATTGTGTTATAATCTTAATCACTATAACAGCAAATAAATATGCCAAGAAAAACAAAAAGGGCATATAGACAAAGCACATAAGCAAAAATGAATGACAAGAATAAAAAATTTACTAGAGCAAAATTACACAATTACGTGATGTACGAGTACCGAGCCAAGCCAAATAAATATTACCAAAAATGGACTAAACATTAAAGGTAATAATTTACAAAGACAAATAAAAGAACACTATAACACGTAATTAAGATGATAAACAACGTTAGTACCTAGAATCTATACTTAAAGACCATCATGTATTATTTGTGAAGTTGTTAGAAAGAACATCATCAGTATATCTGAATGTGAAATTAAATGATCTGGCTTCTTTGATCTACTTGTTTTTGAAGTGTCTAAAGCAACTCCGACTCATATGAAAATACAAAGAGGTCGGCAAGGAGAGGCACACAGTTCGTTTCCATAGGAATGCCGACAATTTGTTGAAAAAGTCTACCTCCAAATTCAACAAATATGTTGTCAATAAGAAACTCCAGCCTACTGATCACTTGTTCCTCTGTGTAGCATGTTTTACTTTCTTTTTCACTATTAACAAAATATGTCGTATGTATCCCAAAGTAATAAATTTATAGCGTACGCTACCATTTTTATATTGAAAAGCATTGTGAATTATTTCTTTTAGACGCTTTTTCAATTTCACATGGGGATTGGTGGTATACAGGGTTGAAAAATCAAAAGTTTTGATAGAACTGATTTCAGAGAAAGATCGAGATTTAAAATAATCCAGCAGTTCGTTAGAGATTTTTTGAATCCACATATAGTTAATACCCCTACGCGAGTTAACAGTTTCACAGTATTTCTGAAGACCCTCTTTTACTGCTGACATATTTTTTTTTTCAATCTAATGAACAATTCCACGTTTTATCAGGGACCTGATTGTTTTGACCCTTTTTGACAAAGTGCCCAGAAGTCCTCAATGGAATCCATAATTATTCTGAAGTTATTGTTCCAATTGATGTGTGGGTTCTCTAAACTAAGGACCATTAGTAAAATGCCATTACTCTTGATTTATTTTAGATTCAGTTGAATAAACAAACTGCATTTGATTAATTATAATTTCTACTAAAACTTCTGCTGTATTACACTAAACATGCTAAAGGGACGGGTTTGAATTTAAAAACAAAGTGTGAAAAAAAGTCTCATTGCTTTCAATAGGATCTGATACAACATATAGATATAAGAAGATGTGGTATGAGTGCCAATGAGACAACTCTCCATCCAAGTCAAAATTGATAAAAGTAAACCATTATAGGTCAAAGTACGGTCTTCAACACGGAGCCTTGGCTCACACCGAATAGCAAGCTATAAAGGTCCCAAAAATTGCTAATGTAAAACCATTCAAACGGGAAAACCAACGGTCTAATCTATATAAAAAAAACGAGAAACGAGAAACACTTATGAACCACATCAACAAACGACAACTACTGAACATCAGATTCCTGACTTAGGACAGGTGCAAACAATTGCAGCGGGTTTAAACGTTTTAATGGAACTAAACCTTCACCCGTATCTGAAACAATATTGTAACATCACAACATAGAAAGACACACTATAAGATATCAATTGAAATGGCTTAACTCAATTTAAAGACATATTAACACCAGTGAACATGCACTGAACAAATAAATTTGATCTATGATACAACGTAAATACAAAATAAATAAAAAAAAGAAAAGAATAATTAAAGTAACATGTTATACCGCTGTGAAATGTTAAACAATTTAAGAAAATATCAGACATTTGCAATTACTTTAAACACAGGTAAATGAAAATAATTTTGTTGTTAGGTATATGTGTAACGTTCAAATGGAGAGAGGAAATATATTTACAAAATAAATAATTTTGATGTTTATATTACGAAGAAGTGAACATTTATAGTAATACCAAACACTTATCAAAGCTGGTATATAGACCAGATATAACCCTGAAAAAGTTAACATTAAATAACAAAAAAGCATTACAATTAGTATCAACAGGTCAAATAAACAAGAAAGTACGATTTGAGAGTACTCGCAGTTACTGACAGCTAGTTAAAAGCCAAAAACAATTAATAATAAAAAATCATGCATCAGAGACTAAAATCAACTAAAACACATCCCAGGGATTTAGTATTTTAACGTCATGGACAGTCAAAGAAGACATGACTTGTGCAATGCCAAAAATAAATGTATCGACAGGCAGTAGAATAGTTAGGAGTTAACCTCTTTATAGATCAAAATGAACGTTGGTGTGTCTTTATACATCCCGTTTGAAAAGAATACAAATTTAGTTATGTTTTAGTTTGCTGATGACAAAATCTTATTAGTGCCAATGTAAATTATAATCAAAGGTCTAATTACAACATTGGTAAGATAACCTTTACTAATAAGTTTGTTTAAAAGCCAGCTGAAGGACGCCTCCGGGTGCGGAAGTTTCTCGCTGCATTGAAGACTAATTGGTGGCCTTCGGTTGTTGTCTTCTCTATGGTCGGGT